GGAAAATATATTTACACATTTGTTATATACACTACCAGTCAAAAGTTTGAACACACCTACTCATTCAAGGGTTTTTCTCTATTTTTACAATTGTAGTAACCAAAAAAGTGTTAAACAAATCAAAATATATTTGAGATTCTTCAAATAGCCACCCTTTGCCTTGATGACAGCTTTGCACACTCTTGGCATTCTCTCAACCAGCTTCATGAGCTAGTCACCTGGAATGCATTGCAATTAACAGGTGTGCCTTCTTAAAAGATAATTTGTGGAATTTATTTCCTTCTTAATGTGTTTGAGCCAATCAGTTGTGTTGTGACAAGGTAGGGGGGCATACAGAAGATAGCCCTATTTGGTAAAAGACCAAGTCCATATAATGGCAAGAAAAGCTCAAATAAGCAAAGAGAAACGACAGCCCATCATTACTTTCAGACATGAAGGTCAGTCAATACGGAACATTTCAAGAACTTCGAACGGTTCTTCAAGTGCAGTTGCAAAAACCATCAAGCGCTATGATGAAACTGGCTCTCATGAATGGAAGACCCGGAGTTACCTCTGCTGCAGAGGATAAGTTCATTAGAGTTACCAGCCTCAGAAATTGCAGCCCAAATAAATGCTTCACAGAGTTCAAGTTACAGACACATCTCAACATCAACTGTTCAGAGGGGACTGTTTGAATCAGGCCTTCATGGTTGAATTGCTGCAAAGAAACCGCTACTAAATGACACCAATAAAAAGAAGAGACCTGCTTGGGCCAAGAAACACGAGCAATGGACATTAGACCGGTGTAAATGTGTCCTTTTGCCTGGAGTCCAAATTTGAGATTTTGGGTTCAAACCACCGTGTTTTTGTGAGACGCGGTGTGGGTGAACGGATGATCTTCGCATGTGTAGTTGCCACCGTAAAGCATGGGGGAGGAGGTGTTATGGTGTGGGGGTGCTTTGCTGGTGACACTATCTGTGATTTATTTAGAATTCAAGGCACACTTAACCAGCATGGCTACCACAGCATTCTGCAGCGATACGCCATCCCATCTGGTTTGGGCTTAGTGGGACTATCATTTGTTTTTCAACAGGACAATGACCCAACACACCTCCAGGTGGTGTAAGGGCTATTTTACCAAGAAGGAGAGTGATGGAGTGCTGCATCAGATGACCTGGCCTCCACATTCCCCAGAACTCAATCCAATTGAGATGGTTTAGGATGAGTCGGACGGTAGAGGGAAGGAAAAGCAGCCAACAAGTGCTCAGCATATGTGGGAACTCCTTCAAGACCATATGTGTTATTTCACAGTTTTGATGTCTTCACTATTATTCTACAATGTAAAAAATAGGAAAAATAAAGAAAAACCGACTGGTACTGTATATATACAGTTACATTTCATATATGGAAATCAGTCAATTAAAATAAATTCATTAGGCCCAATCTATGGATTTCACTTGACTGGGCAGGGGCGCCAGGACCTGCCAATCAGAATGAGTTTTTCCCCACTAAAGGGCTTTATTACAGACAGAATTACTCCTCAGTTTCATCAGCTGTCTGAATGGCTGGTCTCAGACGATCCCGCAGGTGAAGAAGCCGGATGCAGAGGTCCTGGGCTGGCATGGTTACACGTGGTTTTGAGGCCGGTTAGACATACTGCCAAATTATCTAAAACGACGTTGGAGGACACAAATGTGACTCGTTTCAGGAAACTAGGCGTATGTCGCACGTCACAACTTTACAGGAGAGCCATTTGAAAGTAAATAAATGTTTTACATCAAAATGCGTTTTTGGCAGAAATGCATTGTGGAACATGTGAACTTTCATGTGCCTTAATAACAAACTTGTATGCCATCTGTAAATATGAATACAATTGTTAAATTACGAGCCTAGTTGGTTTAGCCACAGAAAAAGACAGCAACCTTTCCGTTAGCCATGATTGGTTGAGATAATGAGTGGGCTGGACATGCCGAGAGATGAGTTTGGATTGGTCTGCCATGTAGCACACCTCTGTCTATAACATGAGCTGGTCAGTATGTGTAGGTAATCCTTTCTAACATAGATTTTTTGAAAGATATCACATAGTAGAACTACATAAGTGTTGCTCTCCACTTTCTGGAGGACCGATTTTTGAAATCAGTGGAATTAGAGTATGATAGCTAAGGAGATGGAGACGTGTTTTTTTTTTTTACCAGGTAAGCCAGTTGAGAAGAAGTTCTCATTTACAACTGCGACCTGGCCAAGATAAAACAAAGCAGTGCGATAAAAATTGGGCTGTGTTTCAGATGGGCTGTGTACAGGTGCAGTGATCGGTAAGCTGCTCTGACAACTGATGCTTAAAGTTAGTGAGGGAGATAAGAGTCTCCAGCTTCAGAGATTTTTGCAGTTCATTCCAGTCATTGGCAGCAGAGAACTGGAAGGAATGGCAGCCAAAGGAGGTGTTGGCTCTGGGGATGACCAGTGAGATATGCCTGCTGGAGCGCATACTACGGTTGGGTGCTGCTATGGTGACCAATGACCTAAGATAAGGCAGGGATTTGCCTAGCAGGGATTTATAGATGACCTGGAGCCAGTGGGTTTGGCAAAGAATATGTAGTGAGGGCCAGCCAATGAGTGCGTACAGGTCACAATGGTGGGTAGTATATGGGGCTTTGGTGACAAAACGGATGGCACTGTGATAGACTACATCGAATTTGCTGAGTGTTGGAGGCTATTTTGTAAATGACATTGCCGAAGTCAAGGATCGGTAGGATAGTCAGTTTTATGAGGGCATGTTTGGCAGCATGAGTGAAGGAGGCTTTGTTGCGAAATAGGAAGCCGATTATAGATTTAACTTTGGATTGGAGATGCTTAATGTGAGTCTGGAAGGAGAGTTTACGGTCTAACCAGACACCTAGGTATTTGTAGTTGTCCACATATTCTAAGTCAGACCCGCCGAGAGTAGTGATTCTAGTCGGGCGGGCGGGTGCAAGCAGCGTTCGATTGAAGAGCATGCATTTAGTTTTACTAGAGTTTAAGAGCAGTTGGAGGCTACGGAAGGAGTGTTGTATGGCGTTGAAGCTCGTTTGGAGGTTTGTTAACACAGTGTCCAATGAAGGGCCAGATGTATACAAAATGGTGTCGTCTGCGTAGAGGTGGATCTGAGAGTCACCAGCCGCAAGAGCAACATCATTGATATACACAGAGAATAGAGTCGGCCCGAAAATTGAACCCTGTGGCACCCCCATCGAGACTGCCAGAGGTCCAGACAACAGGCCCTCTGATTTGACACATTGAACTCTAACTGAGAAGTAGTTGGTGAACCAGGCGAGGCAGTCATTTGAGAAACCAAGGCTATTTAGTCTGCCAATAAGAATGCAGTGATTGACAGAGTCGAAAGCCTTGGCCAGGTCGATGAAGACGGCTGCACAGTACTGTCTTTTATCGGGGGGCATGGGCAAGTTGCAGGAGAGGATGCAGAGCTGGTGGCCGGGGTAGGCGTAGCCAGGTGGAAAGCATGGTCAGCAATAGCAAAATGCTTGTTGACATTTTTGATTATTGTAGATTTATCGGTAGTGACAGTGTTTCCTAGCCTCAGTGCAGTGGGCAGCTGGGAGGAGGTGCTTTTATTCTCCATGGATTTTACAGTGTCCCAAAACATTTTGGAGTTAGTGCTACAGGATGCAAATTTCTGTTTGAAAAAGCTAGCCTTTGCTTTCCTAACTGATTGTGTATATTGGTTCCTGACTTCCCTGAAAATGTGCATATCGCGGGGGCTGTTCGATGCTAATGCAGTACGCCACAGGATGTTTTTGTGCTGGTCAAGGGCAGTCAAGTCTGGGGTGAACCAGGGGCTATATCTGTTCTTAGTTCTGAATTTTTTGAATGGGGCATGCTTATTTAAGATGGAGAAGAAAGCACTTTTGAAGAACAACCAGGCATCCTCTACTGATGGAATGAGGTCAATATCCATCCAGGATACCCGAGCCAGGTCAATTAGAATGTATGATCTGTGTAGTTATATTATTCGTATATATCAGAGCCATTTGCATTGCTAGTTATAGCCTAATATTAGCTAGCTAACATTGAACCTGGTTGGTTAGCTACACGTACCTGCAGATTCATGCAGGGTAGTAACGTTATGAGTTGGGATTATGGTTCATTGTTTAGCTAGCTAGCTACATGTCTAAACAAAAGACTCCACTACTATGCAAGTAACCATTTCAATAGAATGTTGGTGATGTCACTGCGACAACTGTCGATAGATGTAGCTGGTAAATTCGCTCTGGCTATCTACTCGGATTTCAGTGCACTCTCGTCTGAGTGTGCCAGAGCGCAGAGTAACTGACAAATGTACGAATGCTCAACACCCGTTGAATATGGCCGGTGTCAGTAAATGTTGGCAAAAAGCGTAATTAAATTGTTGCCAGCAGCACAGTTGCTGTCACCAATGCTCTGGATAACATAAAAACATCCTACCCAGCTCTTCTAGGGCGAGTAAAATGGTCAGAGTGAGTTATGTTCTCTCATTTCTGTCTGGAAGTAGCTAGCAAGCTAGCCAACTTTAGCCAGTTCGTTTGGGTGCTTGACTGCTGTTGTTAGGTCAGAACGCTCGGATCAACCCTACTCCTCGGCCAGAGCGTCCAGTGTGCGCAGAGTGCACTCTGAATTTACGATGGGTAATGGAAACACTTCAACCACTACATTTTTATTTTTTTGCGAAAGGTGTGATGTCATTATGTCCAGCTGTTTTGATCAACACAAAATAGTGAAATGGAACCACACCTTAGCATCTATGTTGGAAAAAAATCACTGGACAGCTTAATGAAAACAGCTAGTGACACACGCATTCAATCCCCCCCCCCCCCCCCCCCCAAAAAAAAAAGCATAATATACAAATCAACCATTGTCAGAAAACCTAGAAATAAATTGGCCTAGCGAGACGCACAGGTAACTTTGTATTTTAACTCAGTGTCTCTTGTTGTTAATCACTTTCGGAATTGGATTTCCACACGGTATTATTGTGTCTGGAATCTAGGTTTCTAGATCATTCCAGCCAGCCAAGGAGGAAGAAATAGTCCCAATGTTCCCAGTATACACACCAGTACAAACATCCAGAGAAATATCCTGTCAATGACCATGGCCACATACTTCCAGTCCTCCTTCACCTGGTGGAGAAGAAAAACATAGATGAGACAGTCATTTAGAATCTCCACACCGCATTACACATTTACAGGCTGTCAATTTACGCCCTTGATTGAGTTCTTGCAAATGGATGAATTTTTTAATTACAAGGGGAAGCTACCCCTTAAATATCAGTCAATCCCAGCTTGCTTATGAAATATTCAGGGCAACATTGTCAAGCCTTAATTGCTTCAAAGAGAGGTCTATAGTGGCTCGAGCTCCTGGCTGTATGCTTTGTTGAGTTTGAATGGCAGCCCTGCTTCTGCGCCACAGGGACCTACAGTGCCTTCCGAAAGTATTCACACCCCTTGACTTTTTCCACATTTTGATGTGTTACAAAGTGGGATTCGAATGTATTTAATTGTCATTTTTTGTCAACACAAAACACTCTAATGTCAAAGTGGAAGAAAAATTCGAACATTTGTAAAGAATTCATAAAAAAACTAAACACTAATATATTATATCTTGATTAGACAAGTATTCAACCCCCTGAGTCAATACATATTAGAATCACCTTTGGCAGTGATTACAGAGTATTTCTGGGTAAGTCTGTCAAATTGGTTGTTGATCATTGCTAGACAACCATTTTCAGGTCTCGTCCACTCAGGAACATTCACTGTCTTCTTGGTAAGCAACTCCAGTGTAGATTTGGCCTTATCTTTTAGGTTATTGTCCTGCTGAAAGGTAAATTCATCTCCCAGTGTCTGGTGGAAAGCAGACTGAACCAGGTTTTCCACTGGGATTTTGCCTGTGCTTAGCTCCATTCTGTTTCTTTTTTATCCTGAAAAACTGCTTTCCACCAGACACTGGGAGATGAATTTACCTTTCAGCAGGACAATAACCTAAAAGACAAGGCCAAATCTACACTGGAGTTGCTTACCAAGAATACAGTGAATGTTCCTGATTGGCCGAGTTACAGTTTTGACTTAAATCTGCTTGAAAATCTATGGCTTGACCAGAAAATGGTTGTTTAGCAATAATCAACAACCAATTTCACAGAGCTGGAAGAATTTTGAAAATAATTATGGGCAAATAGTGTACAATACAGGTGTGCAAAGCTCTTGGAGACTTACCCAGAAATACTCAAAGCTGTAATCGCTTTTCGTGGTGATGATTTCTGGGATCTTGTTTCATTTCAAATACACTTTAAAGCTGCAATATGTAACTTTTCTAGCGACCCGACCAAATTAACATAGAAATGAAAACAAGTCTAAGATGCGGTAGATCTGTTCTATGTGCTCTATTTCTATGCTTCCCGTTCTTAAGTTTAGTTTTTGCGTCTTTTACTTTCGGTTTTGTACACCAGCTTCAAACAGCTGAAAATGCAATATTTTTGTTATGGAAAATATATTTCACAGCGGTTTAGATGACACAATGATTATCTACACTATACTTGCTTGTTTTGTCACATAAACTGAAATTAGAACTATTAGCATTTTTAGTAACCAGGAAATGGCGGAGTGATTTCTACATAGTGCACCTTTAAATAGGGCTATACATTCAGCCAGAAATTCGACAATGATATACTTGACCTGTTCATCTTAATGCGGATAATCACATTTTTACCTCAGAGACTGGGCAGCTCTTCAGGGGGTGTTAATGCTTTAGCAGATTTTTCAATGGAATTTTTGTTGGGGGGTTTATGGGTTCTAAATGTCAAAGGACTAATCTTTTCATATGTATCATGCATTCAAGCTATATCTTAGGCAGGGGTTGGAACCGGTTCAGGGAACTGAACCAAAAACTGGAAAATAACTACATTTTTCAAGGAACAGAAATGGAACCTGGAACGAAAGTGATCCATACTGTTCTGGAACAGAACTGTTATTTTAAAAGCATGGGAATCGGTTAATAACGTTATTTTACGTTCCATTTTTTTGTTGTTGTCCCACAACAAAACGCAACAAAGCGCCTATGCAAAGCCCTCACTCTGTCAAACTTATTCCAGTGTCTGCCTACAAGCTGAACATCTTTGCCTGTGCGTGTGCATGTTTAGGCTACCTGACCCCTCTCCCCTCCGAAGCATAGGCTACTGTACTGACGTTACAAGCTTGATTCAGAAGATAGGGAAATATCTTTTTTATTAGCTTTTTCAATGCTAGTTAAGGATCATGAGTTATTATGTTTCATGTTGGGATTTATTAACTACAAAAAGGTAAGATGTATTTTTAATTCTGGTGCCGCTCTGCACACAGAAGCTTGTTAGCTAGCTAGCTCAAGCTTGTTCGCTAGCTAGCTCAAAGGATATTCAACGTTCCTCCATAGCAGCCGCTCCTCCTAGGTATAATTCTGTGGTCCTAATTCAGATAATGCATGTCATAACAAGATGCCCTGCACTTCAAGCCTCCTCCTCAACCCTTTCTCGCTCTCTCCCCACCTGCAAAAGTTCAGCATCTTGCGCTACAGCCTAGACTTGTTTGTCCATCACGCATGTAAACAACTAGCTTGCCTGCTCTATCCGCACTTATTGGTGAAGTAATTTAATGAGCTAAATGTAAAAAACTGTTGATTTCACAGGTTAAAAAAAAGGAACAGAAAGGAACAATATAAACCGGTACTTTTTTTTGGTTAGAACCGGTTCAGAACTTTATTTTGCTGGTCAGAACAGTGGAACAAACCCCCCAAAAATGTGGTTCTGTTCAGAACGAAACACGATATTAGGGTAACCTTGCAACAATATCTTCTTAAAGGGCAATGCTACTTCCCACATCGAGAGAACGTTAGGTCAACCATTCGTGGTTCATACGGAAATGAAAGAGCTCTGACAGAAAAGGTAATGTCAATAAACTCACCAAGAAGTCAGCGTCCTCTGCCCTGAGGTGGTCAGCGATATACTGCACGCCCTCTATGGCCCTTCTCATTGACGGAGATATTGTGGGGATCACGGTTTCCCAGGTACCTAGAGCCATGGTTGGCTCAGTGGAGGAGGCTCTACCAAGGTGGTCTAGCAGGATTTGTCTCTTTAGCCTTCCTCCACCTACAGCCCCTCGGCCCTTGCCACCAACAGCGGCCCCACACCCCTCTTTGTTAAAGCTGCGGGAGCGGCAGTGGTGCTCGGTCATCTGGGGGGGCTCCTGGTTTGGCTCCCTCTGGTGGTCAAACACGTGCTCTACACTATGGCTCCACCTGTTGGGGGCCAGTATCCGCGGCTCAACCCGGGACAGAGAGTGTAGGGGGCCCAAGGGACCCAGCGGCAGAGACGGGGGGGAGGAGGAGGAGGACGGCGTGGAGGAGTGGGTTGTGCAGGACAAGGGGGAGGCGGTGTTCCCCAGCTTGGAATGCTCTTCCAGGAGGATGGAGTACTTGCTGGAGGCGGAGCGGCAGCAGAGCTGGGGGGCCTTGGGGGGGTGCTCCTCCAAAAGCAGGCCCTGGGGTGGAGAGGGAGAGGACGAAGGAGAGAGGGTCAGGATGATGGGGCTGTCAGAGTGCGTGGCAGGGAGAGTGTGCCCCAGCTGTCCTAGCTGTCCTAGCCCCGTCTCCACCCCGGCCCAGAAAGACTGGGACTGACCGGCTGCTGTCGAGGAGCTGGTCTGGTCCATCATCTCAATCAGCTTCCGGCAGTTCTGCCTGGCAGTGGCCGGGGGCCGCTTCATGAAGAGCACGCGAGGCACCAGGTCCAGGAAGACCCGCCGCACCCAGTGGGGCATGCAGTGGGTGCGCGGTGAGCGATGGTGCACGTTGAGCACGAAGACGGTGATGATGATAGAGAGGGTGACAAAGATCATGGTGAAGAGGAGGTACTCGCCGATGAGCGGGATGACCAGTGAGGTGGACGGGATGATCTCGGTAATGAGCAAGAGGAAGACAGTGAGAGACAGCAACACAGAGATACACAGAGTGATCTTCTCGCCACACTGGGAGGGCAGATAGAACACCAAGACAGTCAGACAGGAGATCAACAAACATGGTATAATCAGGTTGATGGTGTAGAAGAGCGGCAGCCTGCGGATGATGAAGTAGTAGGTGATGTCGGGGTAGATCTCGGTGCAGCACTCATACTTCTTGGTGTTGTACTTGCCCACAGCGTTGATGATCACCCACTCGCCACTCTCCCAGTAGTCCATCTGGTCCACGTCACTGGCCATGCCGATCAAGTCGATCTTGGCCCGGTCGTAGGTCCACGAGCCAAACTTCATCTTACAGTTCTGCTGGTCGAAGGGGAAGAAGGTGACGTCGATGCTGCAGGAGGACTTGTAGATGGCCGGCGGCATCCACTTGATGTGCCCGTCGTGGAACAGGTGGGCCTTGGTCAGGTGGGTCACTGCGAAGTCACCATCAGCGCTACAGAGGAAATACAGTATATTCGAGAAGTAAGTAACTCCTTAAATGCGTTATTCATGCAATATATGTAGGCCGTTTATTTTAAGGATTCAGTCTACAATTATTACAATATGGACGATTTACAGGTTTTCGAAAAGTGTGCATTTCTTAAGTCTGCATTGGTCCCTAAATTCATATTAGCACAAAATAATATTGAACAGATCCTAACCTAGTGTTATTCATGTACAATTTTACACAATACCACACTGTATTATCACTGACTGCATGTTCAATGACAACAAGGAACACACCAACAAAAAAACACAATTTTAATGAGGAACATCCCCCATCTAATTACAAATGCATGTATTCATATTTCCCCTGAGTTTGCAATATCTCCCACTGCATTTTGCATGCCTGCTGTCAACAGTGGATAACATTTTTATGTAGGGGAGAGTGGTGTAAGTTGAGCCAAAGGGGTAAGTTGAGCCACCCTTGTTTCTAGGAAACCATACACAAAATTAATAATTTGACCAAATATTTAGGAATAGGTCATCGTTTCATGGAAATCTGTGAAGGAAGAAAAAGTGGTAAGCAAGTTAGGACAAAAAAACTGATTTTCACCAAGTCAAATGAATGTATTGTGTTAGAGGTTTCATGATGCTTGTATCTAAACCAAAGTACATCATTTTAAGATTGTTCTATACATCCATTTGGGTCTCTAAGCTTCAATATGACGTCCAAAACCTAGCATGAAAGTGCATCCTTGTTTGCCATGGGGTAAGTCGAGCCAATGGCCATGGAGTAAGTTGAGCCAATAGCAAGTTGAGCAAATTGAAGTGTTTCTTTCCAGGAATTATCACTGGGATATGAGGTAACAACAGGGCCTGGCCTATGTTAAAAGTGTTCAAAAAGTGTTTGTCTCAACACTAGGCCCCTAAGCCCTTTATCGAGTGGCCACTTGCTGCTGTGTTCGATAGTGATCACTCGAGTCTGCAAGTGTTTTGGCAAAAATGAGCATTGAGACGATGTGCACTTGACGTCCCAACTGCCACTTATCAATATTCCACAATTCTAAATCCATTCGCGAGGATTGTCTCCCTCGACCTGACTTGTAGGATGACTCACTTTCTATGAAACACGGGCACTGAGGACCTGGGGCAGACACACACATACTCCGATGGACATCTCTCTACTCCTACACAAAATATGTACAAGTATATCGGTCATGAAAAGATCTTACCTCAAGGACACTACAGTGAGGGAAAAAAGTATTTGATCCCCTGCTGATTTTGTACGTTTGCCCACTGACAAAGAAATGATCAGTCTATAATTTTAATGGTAGGTTTATTTGAACAGTGAGAGACAGAATAACAACAAGAAAATCCAGAAAAACGCATGTCAAAAATGTTATAAATTGATTAGCATTTTAATGAGGGAAAAAAGTAGAGAAGAAGAACTGTCGATCCCCTCTCAATCAGAAAGATTTCTGGCTCCCAGGTGTCTTTTTTACAGGTAACGAGCTGAGATTAGGAGCACACTCTTAAAGGGAGTGCTCCTAATCTCAGCTTGTTACCTGTATAAAAGACACCTGTCTACAGAAGCAATCAATCAATCAGATTCCAAACTCTCCACCATGGCCAAGACCAAAGAGCTCTCCAAGGATGTCAGGGACAAGATTGTAGACCTACACAAGGCTGGAATGGGCTTCAAGACCATCGCCAAGCAGCTCGGTGAGAAGGTGACAACAGTTGGTGCGATTATTCACAAATGGAAGAAACACAAAAGAACTATCAATCTCCCTCGGCCTGGGGCTCCATGCAAGATTTCACCTCGTGGAGTTGCAATGATCATGAGAACAGTGAGGAATCAGCCCAGAACTACACGGGAGGATCTTGTCAATGATCTCAAGGCAGCTGGGACCATAGTCACCAAGAAAACAATTGGTAACACACTACGCCGTGAAGGACTGAAATCCTGCAGCGCCCGCAAGGTCACCCTGCTCAAGAAAGCACATATACAGGACCGTCTGAAGTTTGCCAATGAACATCTGAATGATTCAGAGGACAACTAGGTGAAAGTGTTGTGGTCAGATGAGACCAAAATCGAGCTCTTTGGCATCAACTCAACTCGCCGTGTTTGGAGGAGGAGGAATGCTGCCTAAGACCCCAAGAACACCATCCCCATCGTCAAACATGGAGGTGGAAATATTATGCTTTGGGGGTGTTTTTCTGCTAAGGGGACAGGACAACTTCACCGCATCAAAGGGACGATGGACGGGGCCATGTACCGTCAAATCTTGGGTGAGAACCTCCTTCCCTCAGCCAGGGCATTGAAAATGGGTCATACACGGCCAAGGCAACAAAGGAGTGGCTCAAGAAGAAGCACATTAAGGTCCTGGAGTGGCCTAGCCAGTCTCCAGACCTTAATCCCATAGAAAATCTGTGGAGGGAGCTGAAGGTTCGAGTTGCCAAACGTCAGCCTTGAAACCTTAATGACTTGGAGAAGATCTGCAAAGAGGAATGGAACAAAATCCCTCCTGAGATGTGTGCAAACCTGGTGGCCAACTACAAGAAACGTCTGACCTCTGTGATTGCCAACAAGGGTTTTGCCACCAAGTACTAAGTCATGTTTTGCAGAGGGGTCAAATACTTATTTCCCTCATTAAAATGCAAATCAATTTATAATATTTTTTACATGCGTTTTTCTGGATTTTGTTGTTGTTATTCTGTCTCTCACTGTTCAAATAAACCTACTATTAAAATTATAGACTGATCATGTCTTTGTCAGTGGGCAAACGTACAAAATCAGCAGAGGATCAAATACTTTTTTCCCTCACTGTACATACTTTTTGAAGAAATTAGAGACTTGTTCGGTGGACTCGAATGACTTGTGTACTATGGATGTCTCTAGCCTTTATACAAATATTCCTCATCAAGAGGGTTTAGATGCGATGAAACATAATTTGAATCAAAGAACAGAACTGGATCCCCCCACTGACTTATTGTTGAGCTTGACTAATGAAATATTGACTAAGAATTATTTTAAGTTTGAAAACTGTTATTATCATCAGTTTCAAGGAAGTTGTGCTCAATTATGCAAATGTTTTATGGGGACATTTTTGTTGGACTTTGTATACGATAATAATCCCTATTCTAAGTTTATCAAAGTGTTTCTGAGATATATTGAAGACATTTTTATCATTTGGTCAGGTGATTATCTTGAATTGCAGGAATTCTTTACATACAAGAATTCCAGGATGCCGTCCATTAAATTTACATTAGTATCCGTTAAAGAATGTGTCCTTTTTGGATGTTTTGGTTAAGAAAGATGGCAATGGCTTGCACACTGAGGTGTATAGAAAAGAAACGGATAGAAATACCTTTCTTCATTTCAGCAGTTATCATACACCTTCATTAAAAATAGTTTAACTTATAGCCAACTCCTTCGTATTAGGCGCATTTGTGACTCTGATTTATCATTTGATGTACATGCCAAAGATTTATGTGAACGATTCAAAACACAAAATAATAATTATTGGACAATTGCCTTAAGAGAGTAAGACAAACTGAGCGGAATGCATTATTGCAACCACGTCAAAGGAATCCCTCTCCTCCCTCTGCAACTTCGGTGTCCACTTACAGTCCTATTTCAAGGTCGATCAAGGAAGTGGTTAATAGACATTGGCACATATTACACAGTGACCCCAGCTTTGGTAAAGCATTTGAATCCCCCCTGAGGTTTTGGTATAAGAGACCCTCAGATTTATGTGATTGTTTAATAAGGTCAGATTTGCCTAAGAAAAAAATTATCACATTTTATGTCTATCATTCCTGATGGCAATTTACCTTGTCACAACTGTGTCCACTGTTATGCCATGATCAGAGGGAACTCTCTTATCCATCCCCGTTCGGGTGAGAGGATAAAGGTTCTAGGTAGAATAACATGTAACACGAAATATGTTGTATATCTCCTTAAGTGTTCCTGTAACTTTTATTATGTGGGTAAGACCAAACGTGAACTTAAGACAAGGATATGTGAGCACAAGAGCTCCATTCTCAACCAATATGAAAAATCACCTGTTGCCAGGCATTTCAATAGCCATAATCATAAACTAAGTGCTTTACATTATATGGTTATTGAATTAGTGAAGGCGCCACGTAGGGAAGGAGATAAGGACAGTGGCGACCCATCATTCAGGACCCGTCATTGTTTTGAGCCCCACCTTTTTAGCTAAATAAATTAATTGGGTTGCCTGTTTTGCATGTTATTTTGGCATTAATACGTGTCACATATCAGTTTGCAAACAATGTAAAAAACATAATAATAATATCATTGAGTTAATAAAGCTGCATACAAACTTGGTCTCTTTTTTGCTTTCTTGAGTAAGGCAGCTCCAAAATGCAGGTGTTTCAGCCTAGAGCAGTGCTTTCTGTGGTGGTGGGTCAGCCAGCGTAGGGGTTGTTAATGTTCACTAGTTGCGCAGTGATTGGCTCACTGTTCTGTCACTCATGGTGACACTATGTCACCGCGAAATATAAGGGTAAAGCTCGAAAATTCAAGCCCCTTGGGTGCTGCCATAGAGTTACATTAGAAGTGCCCATCCAAGAATGATCAAGGTCATTGGCCACAGATAAAATGATGTCAAATCACGTTAGCTTTGATTGGACTGATCATGTCAACATCATACTTTCAAAATCTTAGCTAGCAGTCATCATCATGAATCAAGTCGACAATCTACTGGCAAATCCTTTTAAATCCTTGTCAAATGAAGATAAATAATGAAGCAAAATTATAGATAAAACGTATCGGTGCTCATCGGCCATTGGACATAAACATTACACAACAAGTCGCAAATTCAACAATGAGTGGATTGGAAGGAATCAGTGGCTAACTGCAAGCATTGCAAAGTAGTCACTAGCCTGCTATTCAGTGGAGTGGGTGTGTGGTCCCAAGTCTGGGTTTAAGGGTCTCTTTTCCAAGCTTAAAAGGATAAACATTCAAGTTTGGCCATGCTGTCAATCCAGCATGACTTCTGCCGAGCTCAAAACAACTGAAAACTCGGAACTGGGAAATCTGACTTAAGTGAGCTCAAGACAACTGGGAACTTGGGAAAAAACTAGCTTTGAACGGTCATCCAACTCGGAATTGTAAGTCGGGAACTCTGGCCTCTTTCTAGAGATCCGACCTGAAGATCACTGACGTCATCATGATTCAACCTTGTTTTTTTCAGAGTTCCCTGT